GACTGGAGGAAGGGACAGGAATGCAGCAGCAAGATTTAGGGCTTTCCTGTAAAGGCACAGAGCTGCTTTGAGATAAACCACGCTAAATCTCTGCCTCTTGGACAAACCGACTGACCCTCATTTGTTACTGCAGATTACTCTCACAAGGCTTCTAGGAGACATGCAAGCAAGGACTCAACAGTTACAAAACCAAAATAACCACATTTTCAGAAATTCTTTTAAGCCCACAGTTCCACTGAGAGGAAAAAAGAAAATTCGGGAGCTGTCTGGTTTTATGGTATGATGCATTTTCTCCTTTAGCATCTGCCTGCAGAACTCCTCACCACTTCAAAGGTCCTGCTTTCTCTCCCTCCATCCACAACTGCCTTTCACAGCTTTTTTTGCTAACCCACTCCCTTGGCTCCAAAGACACTACTTACCTTTTCCTGTCATGGATTAACATAATTAAACTGAACCTAGAGCAGTTTTTCCAGCCATTTTTCCAGCTTTGCTTAAATTCTGCCCCTTCTGAAGAAGGGCTTACGTACCTAAAAGCCAGCCTGTTTTTTTCCACCTCTATCAGTTTGGTCTAATAAAAGATATCACCTCTCCCCACAACCTGTACATCTCTTGAGCGCACTTGAAAGGAAGAAAACGTTTATCCAGTAAGAAACATGGTTGGCAAGTTATTTCCCCTGACAGCCTCTGATACTTGTGCAGGTTATTTGCAGGCTCATAAAGACCTCTTTCTCTGTCCCAGCTCAGCTACTTCCAGTGCTCAGAGTCACAGCCCTGAACCTGTGAACTCCTCATCTGTTGCTGCTGCAGCAATGGCTGCAGCATCTCAATTAACAGCAACGTGGGGGCTGAACCTCTACTCCCCAGGATCCCAAAGAGACTGGCATGACTTGAAACAGCTCCAGGGCACAACATCACTAGGAAAGGGAGAAGGATCTGAACTTGGACATCTATAGAAAATAATGTGCCCAAACTGCTGCCATTCAACCTGATTTTCAAAAAGAAAAAAGTTGGGTAATAAGCAAAAGAAAGATACAGAGCTCTTGTAACAGGTCCAGAAAAGGGCCACTAAGATGACCACAGGGCTGGAGCAGTCCTATGAAGCAAGGTTGAAGGAACTGGACTTTTTTTAGCTTGGAGAAGACCCCGGGGAGACCTCATTGTGGCCTTCCAGTACTCAAAGGGAGCATATAAACCAGGGGAAATGGCTGTTTATGAGGGTGGATAGTCATAGGACAAGGGGGAATGGTTTTAAGTTGAAAGAAGGGAGGTTTAGGTTAGATATTAGGAGGAAGTTTTTCACTCAGAAGGTGGTGAGGCACTGGAACAGGTTGCCCAAGGAGGCTGTGGATGCCCCATCCCTGCAGGCATTCAAGGCCAGGCTGGATGTGGCTCTGGTCAGCCTGGGCTGCTGGTTGGTGACCCTGCACACAGCAGGGGGTTGGAACTGGATGAGCATCGTGGTCCTTTTCAACCCAGGCCATTCTACGATTCTGTGAATTTCTGCAATTTACCACGCTGCCATGTTTCAGCACAGCATTTCTTAACTGCCATTAGCTATGCTCCTCTCACTGCACTGCATAGCGTGGATATTTCTGGAAGTGCCATATTCACTTGTTGGCTCCCAGCCCAATTTTGATCAAACGATGAAGAGGCCATGAACCCACATGGAGGGGTGACAGATGGAAATGGAGCGTGAGCTCTGTGCCAGGAGTGAGAGGTGAGACACTGGGACACGTGTTCTCCACTCCGATTTTCTCCCATTAATGAGGTTGACGAAATCAAAATAAGAGGCAAGCGGCAACCCAACAATCACATTAAAAACAACTTCATTATTCCTCCAACCAGCAGGAATTGCAGTATCCAAATGCAGGATACTGCATGATTTTGGAAGATCAGCATCCAGTGAGGGCGTCATCTCCACAAATGAGTCTCTCTTGGATCTACGCTCAGTCTTTTCAAAGTACTGCATCTCTAATCTAAGATGTGATGCACTTGGGAAGCACACATTCAGCTTCTCCACGCCTATACTGTGACCACGTATCTCCCCATACAAATCACTTTCTCCTTCAAAAGCCATTTCCAGCTACAAGCTACCCTGAAGTTCTCACCGCCCTACTTTTTTGTAGAAAGAAAAGGTCGAATGCTTCAGTATAAATACAACAGTTACATATTTGCCCTGGGGCAATACTGAACAGGAGCCCAAGTGATTGTTCCAACACCAAAGCATGAAGAAAAATGAAAATAATTCTGCCCCAAGCTCTTAGGCTGCATTCAATTCCTCTTCCCTCAGAACATGAGCCCTCTGTCCTATCCTACACAAAGACCTCCAGGTCCTTCACAGACAGAAGGGAACAGGTATAGGTGCTCAGAGATGTGGTTATGGCCATATCTGCACAACAGAGCCCACAGTTCCAAGGACCCCTGGGCTAGCCCTAAGCTGGCACATGCAGGCATGCTGTGTTGGTCCTGCAAGAGCAAAGCAACTTGTGTGCAGCACTGAGCTCTGGTGCTGGCTGCTATGTCAGAGGTGCTGCCCACAGAGGTGCCACAAGTCCCCACTTCCCATCTTGTGGTCTCTGTGCAAGATCACACAGCTTCCCTACAACGCGTGCAGGAACGGTGCCACACTGAACTTGAAGACATTGGGCACACTATGAATAGGATCCTGGGAAGAAAGGCAGATCTGGAAGGGACCTCTAGAGATCAGTTTGTCCAACACACCCTCTCTTGTGGTTCACCAGAACAGAATCAATGACTGCAAATTCTCCGCTTGTCCATTGCAAACATTTCCACATCTCAATACATGGAGGAAACAAGCACATGTACATGGGGTGGGGTGTCAGTGGTGATGAGCTCCAAGCAATGACTTCTGGGAGGGGACAAGCACAGCACCTTCTGTCCATGCACAGGAATAATCACAGAATCATAGAATGGCCAGGGTTGGAAGGGACCTCAAGGATGATGAATCTCCAACCCCCCCACCACATGCAGGGCCACCAACCTCCCCATTTAATACCAGACCAGGCTGCCCAGGGCCCCATCCAACCTGGCCTTGAATACCTCCAGGGATGGACGGGGCATCACAGCCTCTCTGGGCAGCTGTTCCAGCACCTCACCACTCTCTCTGTAAGGAGCTTCCCCCAGACATCCAACCTAAATCTTCTCTCCCTCAACTTAAAACCATTTTCCCTTGCCCTGCTGTTACCTACTGCTGTTATCTGAATAAGCAGAATTGCAAGTCTACACAAAACTCAGACTGACCTCCGTAAAGCAACTCTGGCTGTCCTGGGAGAAAGGCTTAGCTTTCCTTCTTTTTGAAATAAAATTGCATTGAATTGAAGTGGTTTTCATCTTCAAAATGAAAATTTCTCCTAGAAAGTTCTGGGGTTTTTCATCAGGGATTTTAAAGTGAAATTTGTCATTCTTTATACCCAGAACCAGGTCTGGACTTTCTCTTCCCTATCTTTTTTTTTTTTTTCCTCCCTTCTTTACTTGACTTTAGATGAGTTCTTTTACCCCCAAATCTCTCTTCCAGTTAATAGAGAGTTAAAACAAGAAAACAAACAAACAACTGAACACAGGAAGGTGAGGGCAGGATGAGGGAAAACCTCCTGTCCTCCTTTCTCCATTAGGAGGACAAACAGCTTATCTGTGGCTTCACGTTTTCCAGTTTGTAAATTGAAATCACTACCAAACTGCATATCATTCTCCCACCAGCTCTAGAGAGCTAAATTCACTGGGATTGCCCCCCCTCCCTTTCTTTTCTCTTCCCCCCCACTATTTCAATACACCCTCAAACATTTTGGACGAATGCCTGTAAATTACGCAAACGTAAAAGTGAAGTGCCAACCAACATAAAGATTCCTCTGAGATCTTTGCTTTCTCCTTCCTTGAGGGCCAACAGGTCAGGAAGCCATCCAAGCTCCATGTTTTAATTACGTTCTAAGAGCTACGTGAGGCAGAACCTGCTGTTATCCTTCAGCCACCATCCTCTTTTCAAAACTAAAGAAATTAAGCAGAAATCCCTAAAAATGGTAGGGATTTCTACCACTTGCTGGCAAAATGGTGTACAGACCACTTTGGAAGTAGTTTTGAGGTCAATATTTATTCTGCAGAGAGCAGTGTCACACTCAAAAATGCATAAGATTCCAGCTGAATCCCAAAACTAGAAGCATACAGCTCTCAGTAAGGCATGTGTCACCAACAAAGCCATTTAAGCAGCAATTAACTCCTAGGATTGGGAAGAGTAAGAGTAACATGGTGAAGCTGGATGGCCAACAGCATAAGAAGCTGAAGGAGTTGAGGCCCTTGCCACTTATCACAGGATCATAGGGGTTGGAAAGGACCTCCAGAGATCATCAAGTCCAACTCCCCTGCCAAAGCAGGTTCCCTACACCAGGTAAGGTATCACCTGCTAGTATGGGTCAATACCTCCCATCCAATTACTCACATGCTAAAACAGGAACAGTTCAGCACTTCCCTATGTCTGTTAAAACAGTCTTTGGCAACTGCAATAAGATCTGAATCACTGTGTTTCTCCAGAGCTACAAATACTCTTCATCTAAATGAAGAAATAACTCTCCCTCAGCATCACAGGAAGGTGCAAATATCACCAGGCTCCATTTGAAAGTGAATCTCAGAATTATCAAGGTCAGAAAAGACCTCCAAGATACACAGTCCAACCATCCACCTGCCACCACTATTTGAATGAAGCTTCCTTGGGTGAAGAAATACAGAGTGAAGGTGCTGTGCCTAGAATACAAGGCAGACTTGGCAAGAGGCTCCACCTAGAACACAACCCACTGACTACACTGGTGGTAAGAAGAGAATTTATCCCATTTCAGCACCACTGGAAAGCAGAAAAAAAAAAAAAATAAAGAAAACATTCTTTGATATTTAAGTAGGCCATCTTGGCAATGTCTCCCACTCTACTGTCAAGAGTAGGCCCAAAATTAATAGGCTGCAGAGAATTAAGTGCTTCAGGGGAATCCAGTTCTTACCCATCTTTCCATCTACATCAGGCCTCCATTCCGCCGGTCCCAGGCACTTGTACCTTATCCTCCACTTTCAAGCATCCACCCTGTAACAACAAACATACACAGAGTTTACAGATGGATTTTGGCACGGCAAAAGGGACAGAGACTGAACACAGCCATTCTGAACACAGCCATTCTTCACACAGCACCTCCCTATTATCCTCTGGGCTGGAGGAAGAAGGGGCAAGGAATTGAGACCCGGAGTCCATCCTCCTCTGCACAGCCCAAAGGTTATGCACTGAGTACACTACAAACCTGCTACCCTTTCCAAAATATATACATATACATAATTAATCTTGGAGTAACAAGCTTAAACTTCTGCTATGAGTCTCCTTGTGTAAGAGGACACCAGCTCCTATTTACACCAGTGGAAAAACTCACTTCAGTCTGAATGAAGGCACAACATGCAAACAACAAATGTGAGAAGTTCACTCTGAAGGAATGGCTGCAAGCAGGGATTGAAAGGGTCTTCTGCAACCACGGTGCCTCAGTGCTGGCAAGCAGGAGGATATTTATCCAACCTATTTTGAGAGAGACAAGCAGGAAGGGAAAGCGATAAGACGGTGGTGAAGGCAGAGAAGTGAACGTCACAGAGAACATTGCTCCTTTTGCTGCTGCAGCTTCCTCTGAGACAGCACCGCTCACACTGAGCTCTACTCTGCCTATTTCCAAGACAAGGATGAGGCAAGGAAGAAAGTAACGGGCTCAGATGGGTTTAAGGTCTTATCTTGAGGAGGATAGTTCACGCCAAAGTGGACTGAGAGAACAGAAGTGCACCAAAAATCAATGTAAAAACTCTGGCTGATTGTAACAAGAACAGGAAACAGCTCAAATCCTCACTGCTTTTGCTTCCAAAATTGATGCAACACTTCCAGCAATTGAGCTGCACTCAGGGTTTGCTCTGGGGCCACGTGCAGATAGCCTGGATTTAACCCTACATTCCGAGCCAGCCCAGCTTAACTCTGCCATCAGTAGCATGGTCAGATTTTTCTAATAGCTTTTTGGAGAACTTTCAGACCTTTGCAATCTGATTCTATCACAAAAGCACACACCTACAGAAACCAGGCAAACAAACATTGGAAAGACAGGTGAATTTCCCATGGGCTGAGCTGTGTGCTCTTCTTCATCATTGCTGCCCCAGCGAGCGCCAGAGACCCCACTGAGCACACAGCTCACTCAGCACAAGAAATCTCACAGATACGTGAGATAAAAATGTTTTCTGTTGTCTCAGATCTCCTAAATCCTGAGGACAGCCAGCCTTCACATCGGGCTGCAAACACTGTTAATTTCCGTGGCTTTGCAAAAATACATACCAGCAGCTTCCTGCTACAGAAGGACACATTCCTGTTTCTGGTATAAATTCTGCCTTTTTACAATCTCCTTCTGAAAACAGGGAAGCGGGAGGAAAGGAAAAATCCTTTTTCTGCTCGGAAGCACTTTGAAGCAGCATCCCACCTCTCCTCCCACCAAGATCTCTGACCTCCACGTGCTGAAGGCCGGGTCGGAGGAGCCCTGGGCAGCCTGATCTGGTGGGGGGCAACCAGCTCAAAGCAGGGGGTGAAACCAGATGGTCCCTTCCAACCCAACACTATCAAGGTCCCTTCATACCCAAGCCATTCTATGATTCTGTGCTTAGCAATCAGCTCCCAGGGATGCTGGGGCAATGCAGTGCTCACATTCCAGGTATGAGCTATGCATGCAAGAGACTCTGGCTGCTCCAATCTGCTTGGGAAACTGCCAGGGGAAACCTCCAAACAGATGCTCTCACCTAGAGGCTGTGGAATCTCCTTCTATAGGCATATTCAAGACCCAGCTGAATGCCTGCCTGTGTAACCTATTGCAGGGGACTTGCTTTGGTGGGGCAATGGATTCAATGGTCTCTTGAGATCCCTTCCAACCCCTGCAATTCTGTGACCTGGAATAAAAGCAACTTTGATTTGATTGAGCTGAATTCGTTTCTACAGCTCAAATGGCTCAACATCACTGCAGCTACATGGGCACAGAGTATGAGTACCCAAATGAGACCTATACATGTAAGGCTCCCGGGGAAAGCAGTACCTACTCCCAGCCTGAGCACTACATCATGTGTTGCTTTGAAGGTGTATGGACACATCACTGTAAAACAATAATAACAAGCCACAGTTGCCCCTGAAATGCGGCTCAGCTGGAAAGCTACTCAAACTAGCATTGCTAAAATTGGGACTTTCCTTGTTTTTTTCAAGCAGCAGGGAACAACATGTTGGGCTCACAGCGTTTAACAAGCAAGAGTCAAGCGGAAAAAATCTCTCCTTTTTAAGAGTTGACCACATTAACTTTCAGCAAGTTTCCGGGAGTCCTGCCAGGGCGCTGGAGTTTTGTATACTACGGAACTGTTAAAAATATTATTGTAAATGTTATTTTCAAAAAGCTTAGAGGCCAGGGCTGGGGTAGCGTTAAAAACAACAGCAAAGCAAATGAGATTGTTTTAGCTGGGAGAATACAAGCGTAGGCACGCGGATAGCTTGGTCAAACAGCCTGCAGGCTTGGCCAAGAGAGATTCAAACTCAATGAGTGGTTAAAATATCAAAGATTTCCTTGGATTATCATAGTCATAGAATGGCTTGTGTTGGAAGGGATCCCAAAGATCACGTAGCTCCAATCCCTTGCTGCATACAGGGCTGGCAACCACTAAATCAAGCACTAGAATTGTTAGATTTTGGGGACACTTGAGACATCCCCAATTCATATGGCATCTTCTGCTCATCTGAACCACGCAACACACAGGTATGGTCAAAAAGAAGCCATTCAAGCTTACAATCCTATCTTTACAAGCATGCAACAGGGACAGGCTTTCTGCAAATGTGTGTAACCAGGGCCCAGGTTTGCAGGTTTATCTCGCAAATGACCTTGATGGACAGACTGCATGAGCCAAGAGGAGGAAAAAAAAACCTTTCCTGAGCATGCACTCATCAAGCTGCAAAGCAAGGAGTGACACGAGTGCATGCCCACAGCTCACATAAGGAGGAGCCCAGTGCTCTGGAAGACACTGCACAAAAGCCAACAAGGAATTTGATACGAACACGTATCAGCCAAGGATTTTTCTCCCCATTTTGGAACACAGCAACTTAAAACTGCTTAGGAATCTCTTGCTCAACAGTACGCTGCTAGAAGAATAGATACTCCATAGATCCCTAAGAGCCATCGTGCAAAATGGAGCATACCTTTCATCATAAGTGACAAAACCAGTGCAGCTGTGCTCAAGAAGTCTCTCCTAAGCCATCCTGTTGGTTCCATCAGGTGTAGAACATGAGCTTTAAAACCTGCATGGCAGATAGCTGTTAACTTCCCCCACAGCCTTTTAAGAGTCACTAAGATTTTAAGATTCCTTCCCTTATCAGCTCCTCCTCTTCCTGCAAGTGAGTCTGTAAATGCAATAACCCATCCAACGCGTTCCAGTAAGCTTTTCTCAGTCAGTTTCATTTTTCTGCTATCTAGTAATAATCCCTTTACCAAATTCAGTGGAATAATCAGTAATTTACACTGGTACATTTAAAAAAAAAAAAAAAGTGTTGATTTTGCACAGAGATCAGCTGCCATAAACCATAAAACTAGGAAGCAATCACAAGTATTGAAAAGTACTCCTCCATCAGCAAAAAAAAACCAACAACAACAACAACAAAAACCAAAAAGGCAGAGAACATCAAGTCAGGATAAATGTATCACCCTGACAGACAGCCCCCTCTGCTAATGACGATGGTTTGTTTGCATTCAGAGGAACACTGTCATGTATCATTTCCCCTTATCCAGGGTCAAATCACATCCTCAGACACGTGACACCTTGGCTTGGCAGCTCTTTGGAGCAATGCCACACAATGGAGAACCTGACCTGAGAGTCCATTGCCTGGGATGCCCAGTTCTCCCTGAGGATAACAGCAGCTCAGAACCAACCCTATCTCCACAACAGGCTCTGGAGCAGGTAGGAGGAGGCCCAGCTATCTCTCAGGTAGGCTGCCAGACCTCACAGCCTATCCTGATTTAAGCATGGAAGCTGCTCTGCCATCCCCCAAGGCAACCTACTTGCTAACAGACCCACTTTCCCTCATTCCCAGCTTCCCACTGACATCTCAGCTCTCCTACAGTCTGCCCTACCAGCCCTCATATGCCACCATTAGCCTCTACTGGCTGCGATCGATAGCCTCTCAGCTGGCTGCCCTAACAAGCTGCAGCCTCACCCCTGCAGCCCATCTGCATTTGATTGATCAAAACACAACTTTCTGATTCACAGAGAAGCTGAGGGCTCACAATTACTGACTACTTTCTGCTCTCTCAGCAGCTACCTGGTCATTGTAACCTGCCTGTGTCTATGAGAGCAGATGGTGATAAGACAAGGGGGAATGGTCTTAATCTGAGACAGGGGAGGTTTAGGTTAGATATTAGGAGGAAGTTTTTCACTCAGAGGGTGGTGATGCACTGGAACAGGTTGCCCAAGGAGGCTGTGGATGCCCCATCCCTGCAGGCATTCAAGGCCAGGCTGGATGTGGCTCTGGGCAGCCTGGTCTGCTGGTTGGTGACCCTGCACACAGCAGGGGGTTGAAATTGGATGAGCATCATGGTCCTTTTCAACCCAGGCCATTCTATGATTCTAAGGTTCCTATCAGCAAGAAAACCCATGGCACATGGGGAGACCAGGACCAGAGGATCGGCCCATAGAGTCACCTCAAGATCCTTTCCAAGCTCCAGAAAGGTTTGGACATATCTCTCAGATACACAATCTGATTTTTGGGTGGTCCTGTGCAAAAGCCAGGTGTTGGACTTGATGATCCTTGTGGGCTCCTTCCAACTCCCAATGTTCTATTATTCTCTGATTATTTTCTTGCTCACGCCACTTCTGTTGCGTAATTCTGAATCTAGATGAGAGCAGGGAAAGCCAAGCTCAACAAGCACTTAGTGGCAAGGGAAGATTAAAATGCATGCTGTGTTTCTGGGTGAAAGGAATGCATTCCTGCATAGCCCCAGGATACTGCCGTCTCCAGTTTGTGCACACACTGATGGGGTGGTGATGAGA